TGCACACTACTACAGCTTTCATTGTTAGAACTGTTTCATGCATCAGATCTCATAAGAATGATGCTTTAAATATAAAAAGGAAATGAATAATAACCTTTTCTATTGATATCTGAGGAGAAAATGTGTCACCACAGCACCTTTTTAGAGTCCCAACCCCGCAGAACAATCAGGTTGGTGTTTGCAACGGCCCCCGTCCGCCTGAGACTGTTCAAGCATTATGGTACAGACACACTGAATACGTTGACTGATGTAAAGTTGATGGATCCTATTAATTTTCTATGGAGAGCAGGAGATCTGGCCATGCGGTACATGATGGATATATCATGTACCGCATCATGATAATCAAGATTATGTTACTATGTTGCCTATTTCTCGCTTCAAATTTTTTCAGAAACATATTTTAGTTGACTGTTTAACCATAATATGTAAAAGTTTCTGGGCTGGGCTGCCATGTTGAAAGTGGCCGATTGAAAACCAAGCACAGCCCGACTCGCTCACACAGGAAGACCAACACTTTGCCTGCAGACAGAACAACTAATTAGATTTTGGATTTAATTAGTGTTTTTAGATTTATTGAAATAATGGCATCTTCACAGTCAACAGTCAACACGTCTCCTTTAGGCCTAAAAGAAAACGAGATAGATGGAAACACATTGTTATATTACTAGTATAAGTAATAAGTGTGCCTGTTAACATGTATAAAAACAAAAAAAGTATATACCCAATATTGTGTATATGAGTTCTTGTTCCCTCTGTTAAATGTCATAAAAGGGTTGACACTGTCGAGAGCTGCTTCCTCTCTCTCATTCTGTCTGCTACAATATGTTTTAGTCTCTACATCCATTTTGTGACCCCCAAGGGTCCTGACCCCCAGGTTGACAACCACTGCTGTACAGGAAAAGGGCACGATTACAGCTCCACCGGTATGTTTTGCACAGCGTTGCTTTGAGCTAAATGCTAAAGTCAGCATTCTAACATGCTCACAATGACAATGCTGACATTTAGCAGCTAATGTTTCTCTTGTTAGCATGTTATCATTTGCTAATCAGCACTATAGACAAAGTACAGTTGAGGCACAACAATATTTGTTATAAATCAGTATTAGACAAAATAAAATAAAAAAAAGACCTGATTAGTTACTATCATTCATCTTTTTCACCATGAATATCATGACATGACATGACAATACATAGTTGTTGAGGTATTTCAGTCTGCACCAAAGGATCCACACAAATTCATTATAAGATTTTACTTGAGAGAAGTGAGTAGGAGACTATTTTGCTTGCTTTGATAGCCTCAGCTACATCCACACACCATCTTTTCCAATAGCTTGCCCAAGTGTGTTTTCAAGGGCATTTCCCTTTTGATTGCTCCGTGAAAGGCTTAAAAAACAAGCCAGCCCTGAAAAGTGATGGTGGATGGTGGATGGTGGGAAGGGGTGTGAGCCTTAGAGAAAAGCAAGTCAAAACCTTCATGCTCAGCTTTATTTGCTTGTTTCTGCCAGTGTTTTTTTCTTTCATTTATTAGAAGACTGACTGGGAGTTTTACCGTCTCGGTTCGTAATAAACAACAAGGAGAGAAAAACAGAGAAGAAAAGAAGGTTAGGGTTAGTTTATACAGAGCGAGATTTACGGTCAACTCATATTGTACTTTATTCTTGCACTGAGATATGACAGTTATATATCTGACACAAGACACATCACAGTGCAATTATAGTTTAATACATTGGAGCTGTGTATAGAAAGAAAGATAATTCAGGTATTGAGTTGTTCTGTCTAAAGCTTCTGTTGTTTACAAAAAGGCTACCGCCAGAGGAAACACGCTGCTACAGTGACGTTTAAAGGTGCATTGGAGGCAAATAAACAAAAAAAGGCTACAAAACAACACAAAATCCCTGCGTTTCTGACCACCTGATGAATATAAATCCAATATTTTCCGGTATTTAAGCCCTGTTTTGTAGTGTCTCTGGTTGAGCCTGTGGGCAGCTGTCTACAGAACGGTTGATGATAGCAAGGCATTCATTATCTGAAGGTTTAGCGTTTAGTCCAACAAAAACCTTTTGACCAACAAACACGGCACTCGCACTCTGCTCGGATTCACTTCATCTTACAGTGGACTCCAACCGTGACCCAGATTCATGTTGAAAAAAAAAGTATCCTACCAAATAAACTCCTCAAACAACTCCTGCAGCACAACCCACTTCTCTCACCACCGTCCATCTGTATTCTCAATATGTTGCAAACACACAGCACAGTTGGCTGAGCACCTTTGTTGCACCCAAGTATGTTGGCTGATTTTAGTTGCAAAAGAAAACTTTTCCCTCAACCTGCAACATCGACTGTAGTTCTACTTTGGTTGGTGGTTTTCTGCCTTTGATATTGTCACATTTAGATTAGAGTTGAATGTTAAAATATACAGGTGGGGATAATGGGTGGTTATTATGGTCTATTGAAGCTACTGACCTGTGAGTATCCCTGAAACTTAAAGTCAAATTGAATACACAGAAGGGTTTTGTAGCTGCAGCCTTACTTGGTCTGTTATGACCAGTAGATCAGGGTGGTTGATGTTAGCAAACTTGGCATAGATATTATAGATTATATGCTTTATGAGGTTTCCTGTGGTTACACTACATTTTAGCATGTAACAGATGCCATTTTTGGTTAAAATGTTGTCATGGATTCAGTGAGTTACTCTTTGGGGCACACCTAAACTGTTTTTTAGCCTATAATTGTTTACATTGTGTGAAATTGGCACCATTAATGTTTGCTGAATTAGCTATAAGAAGCTCCAGAATGCTATGTGCCCACTGATGTATAGAAAACTATGCCTGGATTACTGTGATACAGAAGAAGAAGATAAATAAAAATTCTCAGGCAAGTTCTGGAGTTATGAAGAAGCATCTTTTTTGCTATGATTTCTGAGCACAATTACTGAATTTAATCTAAAAATATGTGTATCACAGTTTGAAAACCTGTGGTATACAGTGATAAGCTGACAGAAAATGAGGGAGAGCCAATGCTCCCTGGATGAACTCAATCCAGGAACACAGTGTACTACAGTTATTACATAGATGACATCTTACACCTCTGCACCGCCAGGATGCCCCAATGATATCATTAAAGCAACTGACCCCAGACAATCTTGGGAAATGAAAGGGAAATTCAATTAGCCATTACCCTGTAACCGCCACATGTGGCCAGAGTGTCCACTGTTCAGCAAAATTGCATTACATAGTCTCACTTTAAGTACAAAATGCCACAAAGAAACTCTTGCTCTTTGATTCAGATGAGAAGATTTCCTAATTTTGTAGCTGTGCTGGAAATACAGGACATTTTGCACCTCATGCAGATGAATATGAACATTTCACAGTGTTTACATGTAGCCTTTGGAGTGCAAGTATGGACACTACACACTGATGTTAATTTGAGTTGCAGAAGTCAATGTCTGAACGATTTAGGTGTTTTTAATTTAAACTAGGATTTTAATGATGTTCCTGCAAGTCACTTCACATTTCATAAGAGCTGAAACAAGAAAAGCTCAGTTCGAGTGCAGAAAACATCCTGAGGGAAATCCACAGCATCTAATGGCCGACTGCAGCTATCATCCAATAAAAAAAGTTAGAGGTTTAACTTTATCTGTCATCCTTAGACTCATAATTGCAAACACACAGACACAGAAACACACACACACACACACATGCACAATGACTATTCAGTAAACCACACACAGATCTCCTTTATCACATCTTGCCAGACTCTGACAAACAACTGTAATCTCCTGAATACTGCGCTGACTGACACAGTCCATTCTCAAAAACACCAATTTTCTGATGCTCTATTTTCAGTTGTCTTATAATGCTATTACACTGAAAGGAGAAAGATAAGCTTCACAGTGTGAGAGTGACAGCGGGACACAGACAGAGAAACAGACAAACAGACAAAAAAAACAAAGAACAGAGATACGATAAAGACAGAGGATGCATTTTGTCTGAGAAGCACTGTCCTGCTGTGTGAGTCTGTAGCCGTGTGCGTGTTTATAATTAGTGTACTCAAGCCCAATTCTTTGAATGCAAATGCATCTGCTTATGTGACTAAAATAAAATTTCTTTTGAAGCTAATTCGACACGGCAACTGACAATTTCTTCAATTGTGATAATCTTTACGCCACCTTAAATATTCATTTCAGCAATTTAAAGCAGACACTTCCAGTTTGTCGGTGTGACTGACAGAGGTAACGGAGCGCTTATCAGGGGGAATACGCGGGAACATGTCAGCAAAGGTAGTTTCATTAATTCTACGCTAAATAATTTGTTTAATAGTCAGATCATAAGTTCACCAGGTAATTAAACAATTTTCAGTCCAAACAACCAACTGAGTAGAACATAAATTAAGTTAATGGCCTTATAAGTGGTTCAATGCATTTAAGCAGTCTTAAGTCATCTTTCTGTCTTCCTGTCAAACAGATATTCTTCCCCTGGATTTGATCCGCTCACTTCCACAGTAATATTATTAGTGAGCTTGAGGAAGTCATTAAAAACTGAACTGAAGTGCATCAAAAGGTTAATTTATTTGCTAATCATTCTCCTTCTCTGAACAATTATAATAAATCATCCCCTCCATGAGGAACTTCAGTGTCACTTTCGGTTGAGAGACTTGATCTCACCACATTTTACTGCTACAATCTCCAGTAGAGGCTGAAATAATTTGTGCACATTTGTGTGCGCATGAGTGTGTGGGACTGCGAGTGTGTATGCATGTGTTGCAGTTGGTGGTCTGACAAGGATTTTATTCCAAACAGACTACCGAACATAACCCTGACAGATGCTACTGTGTACTGTACTCATTGGAAAATGCATTACTTGACAAGTAATGTGTTAAGTAGTTTGGGTTTTTAAAACTTCCCTCACAGCAAATTAAAAAGAAATCTATTATGCAGGATAATGTCATATTTTATTGGTAAAGAAATCAGAACCAGCCGGTCATGAAACATCTTTTCGTTACCTGTTGTAGATGTCGTCATCCTCTCCTCCCCAGCCCCAGTACTCATTGGGGAAGCCGTTGATCTTCAGAAACTGTTTTTTACTGAGGCCTGAAACCCCTCCAAAGTAGCCTGCGTAGGGCAGCCTGCAGGAGAGCAGAGAGAAAGAGTTGGGATAGGAGAGGAAGAGAGAAAACGTGAAAAGAGGGAGACGTTATAAGGGGAAGCACTTGAGGACAGGTGACAAGAAGAAATCACATTTCAAAGGATATATATGTAGCATTTTAAATGAATATATTATTGCAAAATAGATTCTAATTGCCTAAGCAAACAAAACCCCTTCGCACAGTAGGAAGACTGGCAGCTTCAACTCTCTGCATCTTCAGTATCAAATAATTGAATTTCAGAGAAGAACTGCTTTTGTCAATGGCGAAAAGTGATATAAGCTTTTAAGTACTGTAAAGTAAAAACCTAAATCAGAAAAAAACTTTAGACATGTTCACACAAATGATTCATCCAACAGCATCTATGGGAAATGTGGATGCAACAACAACCCTGGAATAACCTACCATTATTTTAACTGTGGCTTCATTTGATTACAGCTTTTATAGGAAGGTATTGTCATTAGTAATTAAACAAAGACACAGTAGATTTTTTCAAAATGCTAGATGCAGCAAACATAACATAAAAAAAGGATCACCTTGTCCACACTACTGTAGTCTTATGTTTCATTACCATGGCAGTAGCTCCTTTAAACATCCTACATCTTTGTTTTAATATGTATTTTTTCAACTTTATTGGATGATGTCTGATTATCTTATTTCATAATTCTATGAATTGAATTATCTTTTTCTTCAAGTACAGCATGAAAGAACTGCAAACTTTCATTTTGTTATACAATCTTTTGTTGTTTCCTTTATAACCCTGGTCATACAGTGAGACAGGCACATTTTCTCCAACCCCAGTTGACATGACATCGAATAAACATTGCTACCCAGTCAGTTTACAGTTCATAATATTACTCATTTAATAATTTCTGGGCTGAGATGCAAGCTACCGTGTCGCAAAGACTGCCCCTGTGTTTGTTTTCAGTGCTTGTCAAGCTGAAATTGTTCATGAATCACGGACAGCAGCATCATGTGGCTTGTAGAGATGGCAGAATTTACATTTGAATAACATCTTCAAGTGTTTTAGGCAATCAGATCTTAATGTGTCTTGTCTTGGATGCGTTTTTAAGTGGATAATTTATGGGTGCCTTTTTATAGTAAGTGGATAATCCATAACCATACATAATCCATTCAAGACACATGAAATGACCGGGTATAAAGAGGGGCCATATTATTTCTGCATACTGCAGGCCTCTGGTGCTTATAAGCAGCCGAATTAACACCAGGTTGCGTATAAGCCAAGTTACCTTGTTCGCTTGAATGCTAGAAAGTCTTTAATGGCAAATTTTCTACCTGCAGCATTGTCCATTTACAATGAAAATGTCAGACAGCACTAAATTTAATTACCCCCAACATGAATGTTTGTGACCCCAGAATGATCAATTAAAAAAAAACACGAGAAAGAGAAATTAGAGCTTAGAGGACAACGAATGATGAAAAGAGAAGTAGATGGAGGAGGAGAAGATGAGAGCAGAGGAATAGAAAATAACAGCAAAATTAAAATGAATATAAGCGAAGAACAAGACAATTAAATGATGGAGGAGGAGTTTGTGTTCTGTTCATGAAAGTACCAGCCATGCATATTGTATGTGTGTGTGTTTGTGTGTGCATAGACAGTGGACAAAATTGGGCGGACAAGCATTTTATTTTTTCCTCGAAAGTCGTGAGACTATTGGAGTGGGACGGACGTCAGCTGCGAGTGTCATGACAGGCGCCTGGAGTCTAACCAGAGGGCGATGCGTATGTGTGTGTGTGTGTGTGCGCGCATGTGTGTATATTCTGTACAGCATGTGTTGTCAAACGTATGACGGCTCCTGTTGAAAGATGACAAGCAGAAACTAATGAGACCGTATGTTTCTGCACAAGTTCTCCTAGCAACAATATGGTAAGGAGTGCATGTGTGTGTGCGCTCAAAATGGAAGAAGAGTGAAATGAGAGAGAGAGAGAGAGACTAGAAATTGTTTGCATGTTTTTTTTTGAGAGCTGAATTTAATTTAGAAAGAGAATAAACAAAACTCTTATATAATTTCAAACAGCTGTGACTCCATAAACTTTATATCTGTCTGATTATTTCCTGGGAAAAGTGTGATATTTATGTGATATTAAGTTCTGAGTAGACCAAGCTAGCGAAGTGGAGGGGAGAGTTGTTTCACAAACTCTGCCACCTGTGTCGTCTTTTAATTTTAACCCCTCTATAAGATGCATGATAAACCTGTAGGCCTTTGTGTCATGCCGAGGACGCACAGATCAGACACAGGGAAGACCCTCTCTGTGGATCATCACAAGATGGTACTTTTTCACTTCCCTATTGCAGAAGAAGCAAGTAGAAAAAAATCTCTGTACTTTATTTTCTGTTGTCAACTGGCCTCCGTCACAATCTGATGCTGCATTCGTCCCATTCTGACTGTCCTGTTCACTGAGAGCACCCAATCTAGCAGAGTCATAATAGATCCACTATAGCTGTTTGATGGGGGGGACGTAACACACATTCAGCGCTGCTGGCTACCGCGACAAGTCCCTACCTAGGAAACATGTAAATACTTCATTTCAGTTATGAATATTTAATGTTACAGATAAATACTCAAGTTATTTAGGGGCTTTAACCGGTGATGTTCTAATTGTGAAGAAACATTTATTTTCTATCCTTAAACTCCATCAAACAAGTTGAATTAATTTCCTGCATCATTCAGCCTTTGTCTGTTCCTCCAGGAGTTGGCAGGCTTTTTTGGGGAGATTGTTGCGGCCTAAAATGCCTGATTTCACAGCTTTATATATTTTTAGCATTTTCTTTACAATAGTTGCTCCTGGAGAGACTAATTTGCTTGTGGTATTTTATTTACTTCTTCTCCTCCCTTATTGATGCACTGCCACCTTTTGCCAATTTTATCATTTCACATATTGCTTTCTTTAGTTTTCTCAAAATTTACAGTACATATTGACCCACTGAAAAGTGCAAAGTTGCCAGAATTAGGTCACGACCTAACATAAATCTGCAAATTGGCTCTAGCACACTTATACTGTGACTATCAAGGGAACAAGTACATTTAAACATCCAAAAGGTTCTGTATAATATAATGATAATTTTAAACATTGCATAAGGTCTTTTGACAGACTATCATTTGTGGAATGTTTAGGCCGTGTTGTGAAATGGACCTCAAGGTGACCCTTTCTGCTCAGAGAGCTATTGTAGGTGCTAAGGTAATGGAATAGCACTTAATGTGACCTGACTTTCACTGGCAAATGTTTTCACCATGTATCAAAAAAAAAAAAACTCCCAGTGCTTTTACATTTGAGAGCAGCTAAGGTTGTCTTCCTGAAATGACTCAGCTAAAATACAAAATCTACTCTCTTCCCCAAGTCAGCGTCGTGATGCCAAAACCTAATTTTATTTCATTAGTTTGTTTGTTTGTTTCTTGTTTGCTGAGTTTTTTTCCCTTTAATTTGAAAGATTCCTAAATGCTAAAACTAGCAGGACTCTTTGACCTTGGGAACCCGTTTTCTTCAAATTTTCTAATTTTTACATCAGCAATTAACTACAATCAATTCTGTGACCTTCCAGTCACTCAAATCACCAGGCTTTACTTTTGTCCCCTTTTTCTTTCATTTTTCAGGGGCCAAAAACTCTGGTGAAACTATTAAAAGTCTTTACTGATTCGTTGCTAATAAGAAATGTTAGCTACAACCCTGCTTACCACCTGGTATAGTATTTGTTGCCAGATAGCATTAGCTTATTGAGCACTATATCAGGGACCTGCAGGAGCCCCGGAGGGTTTGCAGTAGGATAACTCTTGTGGACTGACAGCTCTTGAATGGGTAGGTCACATTCACTGGCCATGTTTAGGCCATTAATCAATGCTTCCAGTGCTTTTAGATAATTAAGGGCAGGTGTGGTGTCATTATGCAAAAAGGCACAACTAAAACAGGACCCAACCATTCAGTGCAGGCTGTGAGATGTGTAGTTTCTCCTAAAAAAACGCAGAGGTCTCATTGCAGAGGGGCCAAGCACCTGTAGTAGGCCCTTAAAAGTGCTAATGGAAAAGCAAGAAATGGGAATTGAAATGAGAATTATAATGAGGTGTGCTATTTTACCACCGTGAACAGCGTCCTGCTGATATTTTAGAATTACAACTTCAGATAAAATATAAAAAAGATAAGATCGACTAAACTAGCGAGCATTTAGCATCCCACATTCAGTGATACTAGATGCCCATACAGCCATATAGTCATATAGCCAACACAATACATAATTAACCCAACCATGATAACAAACTGGGCTACAAGTCTGCAAGCAATGTGTGTACTACCATTACTACAATAACCAAGTAGAACAAGCAGTCAACAGAAGCAGCAGCAAACAACGCTACCTTTGGCCAGATAGCCCAAAATGCCATATAGTTACAGCCACAACAGATCTGTCATCACGAATAATCAATATGAAACTTATCAATGATGTTTTCATTCAGCAAAACCAGCAAAAATGACATTAATCCAATGTAGCCTACATGAAATGTACGAACTCAGCATATTCTACCACCATTATCATCATCATCATCATCATCATCATCATCATCATCACAGTTGCTTTCAGCTTCCTGCAGGGAGCAAGCTGCTGCCCCTTGCTAACATGTTCACCTGTTTGGCTAACAGAGCTAACCGCAGGACTCTGTCAGTGAGGGTTGTTGAGTGAGAAGAAGTTTGAGGAACATTTGAGGCCAAAGGATTCTTCCACTGCTCTCTGGACTCTTTTTTCCCACTTTTATTGTTATGAAAAACAGTGAGATAAACAGAAATACAGGCAGGCTACGAGCTTTTACAACTCCCAGAAAACGTGTTGTACCTGTTCGCATCCAAATCGACTGGCAGAGGGGTACTAAGGGAGTGGAATCAGCAACAATACAAACAGGCCACATTGCCCCCGCTGGTGCTGGCTACTGCGTACTGTCGAGAACCCCTGACCACTGCAGGGCTTGTCTCTGCTCTGCAGCAGACAGACTGGTTTGACTTTTTATTTTTGCCACAATCAAGACACACAAACAAACGTTATTCGAAATATTCAACCAAAGAACAAAAATGCATGTTCAGCGCTCCATGAGTGGAGGGAACTAGAAACATCTCCTGTTGCCAAGTCGTATCTATGGTTTCGTCCTATTTACTGGAATAGTGAACAACGTTTCCATTGCATTAGACCCTTATAGGATGGTAATGATTCTTAATATTAGGTATTAGGAAGGTGTTACCAAGGAAACTGTCATTGTCGTTACAGTTCTGGTGTGAAGTTAAAATGATCTTTATAGTTATTGTTATACTGTATTTATTGTTCTTGGTGTGGACGGCCCTTTATCCTTTACTTTAAACTGGCATCCAATGCACACCACCTGCACCCAGGTGGGAAGTATCTGTCTGACGAAAGGTTTCTTTCAATATATTTCCTTATTCAGGTTTCCTTGGTTGCTTTTCCTCCCTTAAGGAAGTCTAAGGTTCATGATGCTGGTTAAAGCTACATTTGAAAGTTTTAGCTGTTTTATGGCTGATTGTTGATTAGTTAGGTCTAGCTATGTTTTTATATTTTTCCACATTTTGTTTGTTTTTCTGCCTCTAAAATCCGTAGAGACTTCTCTGTAAAAAGGAGTTTCCACAAACAGGGATGACTGCTGATGACATCTGCTGCTGAATACACAAAATCAAGTTGGAATTAATTTTTTTCCCCCAGTGACTACAGCCTAGTCAGTGTATATTTCTGACTCTACAGTACGTGTATATTTCTTCCCACCCTCTGCCTATTGAGATGCAACTAAAATGTGTTTTTCGTTTTCAACTGATCTGCTAATTATTTTCTAGATTCACCGATTAATTGTCTATGCAGTGTCAGCAAATGATTGATTACTGATAAGCCGATGTCATATATAGAAAACACAGAAATAACAGGTGTCTTGCACAGCTACTTCCAGCCACTGCAGTAGATTACTTAACAACTTGCTCCATACAGGTTGGTACTGTATTCAAACACTTCAAAGTTAATAAGGGTCTTTTCACAAGCTGTAGTCTAGACTTGTTAGTTACGCTTTGTATCATGTGCTCTTGTTAGGACTACTGAAGTATGACCAAATAACAATTGGCGGCGGTGAACTGGGGTGTATTTTCATGCTAATTTAGGCTTCAGACAAGGATTTCAAAGTATAATGAGATTTAGTCAAATTAAATACTGTAAATTGTCTGTCAGAACAAAGACTGCAGGCCATCTAAAAAGTTTTTTTGTCAGGCAGCCAATTGCATATTTCTACATATTTATAATTTAACAAAAGACAAGCTCAAACTAAAATTATAAATTAGACTGTGGCAAATACCGTAACCTTATGTTGCATTCAAATAGGCTGAACTGGACTGTTCCGAAGCGTCAAGACTTATTAAGGTAAATTCGGGTAACATGCTCCCTCGCACGCCATGTTGAAAATCATCCCCTCACCTGAAGCCAAACTTATCCATGGCGATGGCGAAGTGTCTTGGCTGGTCGTAGCAGTGGTAGAGGTTGCGGTCGTCCATTGGGATCAGGTCCACGTCGCTAAAAATGAAGCAGTCGTACTCTCCGTCCTTCAAAGCCTCTGTGTAGCCAACGTTCAGCAACTTGGCACGGTTGAAAGTGTCCTCACCCAGCTGCAAGAAAACACACAACAAAGAACATTATTTCATTGTTTTCAAAGATGAGAAAGGCGATAACGTAGCTTCATCATTATCTGCTTGAAAGGCTCTGTGTTTAAAAAGAATGGGTAGTCATCTGAAACACAAATACGTGATATCATACATTTTAATTAACTAGATAACAGATACCATAACTCTGTGTCTCTTTTCTTTTTTTAATCTTTTTATAATGTAAAAGATTAAAAACTGTGATAGCCTAAGGTTAAATGGAGACTAATACAAGAGGTAAAGAGAGAGCATTGAAAACATACAAACCATGCTATTTATTATACTTAAATACTTTAGTATTAGCAGTTGCCCAAACTTTTTTTCTGGGGACCCACTTTTTAAAAATGACAAACCGTGGCGACCCAATTCACAGTAAGAAGAGCAAATTTGCACATAAATAAACGTTCCTGACCATTTTTACTGCCATTTCTGTATCCTGTCATATTTTCTTGAACAGGTAAAGCAGCCATTTTGAAGAGATATACGTTTGATAAATCACAACTTTGTTTTATGAATGTGTTATGAAAAACACGTTACTTTATAAGACCTAATTAATGCATTCAAGCGGAGTTACTGTATCTGGCCATCTGAATGTTTTTATTTCCCATAAATTAAACAAAATCAATGCATTGAGGTTAACTGAGGTTTCTCTTAGTAAAACAAACAGAATATGCGCTCACTTTATGAGACAAAATATGTGCATATAGGAAGAGTTGAGGCTCTCGTTTTTACTTCATCAATAAAACAATGCACACATTTTAAATACTTTATACATGAGAAAAAATAAGAAAAAATTCTACAAATGTATTTGTGACCCAAATAAAATCTCCAGCGACCCAAGTTTGGTTCGTGACCCAGTCTCTGGGAATGAATGGGTTTGAGCACTGTTGCAATTATGAATTGGGTTTTTACGTGTTTATGTGTGGTAATCACAACCTAATGCTTAACTGCTACAGGCACTGTTGTCATAAACAAAGAGAAAATTAGTTAGACCAAACCAAATGAGGTCAGGCTCACATCAAAGGTGTTTTTTCTGAATTAATTCAGTGTGAACTGATGTATTTACTGACCCCAAGAAAAGATCAGCTGCCTGAAACTGAAACACGTCTGCTTCTGAGCCACTGCCTGGCTTAAGTTTAACACCTTAAATTTAATTTTTCAACCATTTTTTCTCATATGTTTACCTCTGTTGAAGTAGAATCCTGCTATATATATGAAAAGATATGCAAATAAATGTTTTTTATTACTGCAGATGAAAAGGAAGTATTCCAGCCAGCTAACCAAGCTCGCTGTTTGCCCTGGAAGCAGATACCTATAGCAAACACAGACTGTAAAAACGATCACATACTCACATACTCACATACTAAACACACTCACATACCCTCACCCATACAGATCAATTGCTCTCTCATCCATACAGATCATTCAGTGGTTAAACTGATCAGAGATCAGATAAATGCTACAACAGCTTGTTATGTCTTCTGTTTGAGCCCCTTTAACCCGTCGCTTTAATGAGGCACGGAGAATGACAGCTTCAGTGTCACATTATTTTACAATATCTAATAGCTGTCCACACAAGACGCATTAAGTGACAGCGTGTAAGTGGGTTCAGAACCGCCACAACTTTTACAACACACCCAGGTTGAAAAATACCAGAATTTTCCTTGAACACGTCATCGCCAGCTAAGGTTATGCTTCGGTTTTAGTGCCTTATTGAACATCATTATTTAGTGTCTGTAGTGCTGGTCTGCATTTATCTCTATATGCAGTATGAACTGATGTGTGTATTGACCCCAAGAGAGATGGATGCTGCAGTGAAATACATCTGTTTTTCAGTCTCTGCATGGCCCAGGTTCAAAACTTTGGCTAAGATAAATGCATTCTTGCCGAGCAGCACAGCGGTGTAAAATCGTCAAGGTTAATATATATGACAGTTATAAATTCAATAATGCACAGGGTACTGTATGTCTCTTTCTGCAGAGCCCTTGTGCAACAGCTTGGCTTCGTAAAAATCCAAGTCCAATCCAAGTGAAGCTGCAGGGAGGTCAGTGAGCAAAAAGCGAAGCTACTGTGCAACTTGACACTCTTTGGCAGACAATTTTGTGACGCACGTTGACAGTCCATCTTCTCCGAACATTCTCTGAATTTAGTCTGCCTTTTATGACAAGTGCAGAGAGGAAGCCAAGGAAGGGGATAGGGAGAGACAGAGATATGAGATAAAAATTCAAACCCTTTGTACTGTCAGTACCTGGAACATGCATTAACAGAGAGTCATCAAGACTATTTCCCCTCAGGAAACACTTTTATTCACTTACTGTATAACTGTTTCATTTATTTTAGTACAAATGGCCTCATGTCCCAAAGCAAGTGCAAGTACAATCTTTATATGCATTGTAGTGTCAGCCGCCACAACATCTGAAGCCCTACTTGGGTCAGTGAGTTCCTCTGCCCATTGTCTGAAAAAGCAAAGGACAGAGAAATGGTGAATTTAATTACAAAATGAGTGAACAGATCGTAGAATGGAAGTAAAAACCTTTACATAAGAGCTGAAACAAATAGTCAATAATGTATTTTGATGATAAATTAATCCCTTAAATCACTTAAAAAGCATTTTTTTTTCCAAAATGCCCTTCTTATTTACTTTCCTATGTGATATTAAACAGAATATTTGGGGCTTTTGGACTGTTTGTCATACAAAACAAGCAATCTGAATATGTCACATTGGGTTCTGAGAAATCAGCATTTTTTGCCATTTTATAAACCAAATAATGTTTCAGTTAAACAAGAAAACAATCCGTAGATGAATTGGTGATGAAAGTATTTATTAGTTGTGCTCTATACCACATAAGTACAGACATGAAGGTCTGAAAAACTTATTGTGAAAATGATTGAAATTGCTCTTTATTTTAGGACTTGGTTTGGTGGTGTCTTGTAAGCAACTGTTGGCTGGCTGCAGTTGTATGTACACAAAAATAAAATCTTCATTCATTCACTGTTATTCCTGATAGACAATATCAGTATAGTGAACTGAAGAGAAATCTATTATATTTACACTGGAAAATTTACTTTTTTAGTTATCATGACTGTAATGTAGACTTTCATGCAAATCTGACTAGTGTAGTACTGTTAAGTCCTAATGCAAAATCTGTATAAATGTGAGGGGCCCCACATGACAAGATTAAATTTGTTTATGTAAATGAGACTGGGTCCCAGTTTGAAGCTTCATTCCTCATATCATAAAAAAGTACTTCCCTATTGGATGAATGCCTTAATATCTACAGTATGTAGCAGAACAATGAACCACTGTTACAAATTTGCTGCAGTCACGTATTCCTTGGCCATTAGGGAAAACCACCCAGTTTTGACAACACCGAAAATCTGCGAGATGATTAATGCATCTGCTGACTGTCCTTACTACTGTTCAGGACACACTTCTTTCTTTTGTTTTTTGTTTTTTTGGAGGTACACTTGCTTCCATACTGGTGCATTATCTGTTTGGACTGACCGTGAATCAAGTACAATGCGTAATCTCCCTGGTAAACCCACTAATACCTGAGATTTGAGAGCATAATCCCCTGTGCAGGTAACAAAAAATCTATTGTCACAAATCCACTAGGGCTCCAACAGTCGGTTCAATAGGTTGGAACAACATCATATGAGGATAGGAGAGCAAAATATGACCAAAATCAGCCCAGAAACTAAGTAAAGCAAGATCAGCTAGAAGTTGAATAAATCTTTAAAAGAAGCAACTATTTCACAGAAGTAAAACAATATTCAGTGATTCTTGGGACAAAATATAAATAATAGTTGTGGAGTAAAATGACAATAATCTAAACTATTAAAGTAATGAGCCTTTGCACAATAAAATCTTATGTTAAATTATATCTCAAATATTGAATTTAGTCTTCTTTAAAAAGTGTCAAAAAGTTATGCACATTTTGACATTTTATAATAAGACACTTTTTCTTATTGTGGCTTTTGCATTGGTTGTATAATTTATAAATGCCTTTCACAAGAACTACCTCATGTCTCTGCAAAAAGTTCAAAAAGTTTCATCTCAGAAGTCGCTCTATTGTGCTGCAAGTGACAATCAATATAAACACAGATTCTAATTTTCTTGCATTTGTTTGTGTGTTTGAGAGACAGAAACAATGAGTCAGGGAGGCAGAAAGAAAGACAGTCTCTGCTGTGTAGCTCCCTGCAGATGAGCAAATATATTTTTACAAAAACCAAGCCCTCTTTTTGTGCTCCTAACCTCATTAAGCATTATTGCGGCCAGTGTATATTATTTTTTAAATTTAGATCATTATTTTTTAATAAGACGTCTGCGTGTGAACCTCCCAGCATCTCGGCTTTATGGCGCTTTACATCTTTCCAAATCACTTCTTGCCATAAGAGAGTTCACATCAGTTGCAGGATGTGAGGTAAACTGACACCCATTATACTGTGCCTGTCCAGTTTAAGTGGAGTATACAGAGGCAATGGGATTGATTGATATAATGGTATGTGAGTGTGTGCATTAATTTGTGATACCTTGATCAGATTTTTTACTGCATTTTGTTCATTTTTGGGGTAATTTCATGTAACTATTTGACTGAATATTGATATGTGATATGTAAGAAGTGTTGTATTTCAAATGTACGTCCACAAGATGCAACAATCATTTCACAATATAAACTGGCCACAGGCCACGTTGAAGAGGATGGTGCAGTTCCTCTGTGCTAAAACCAGTCCATCTCCGACCGCTCCATTGTTGAGTTTTTTCAATATTGGTTGTTTTATTTTGTTGACGCAGTGTTTTCTGTGGACTCTGCATTTTCCCCAGCTGCCGGCTGCATTTTGCTCCCCCCACCTCCTGCTTTAGGTCTGTTGTTTCCTGACCAAATGTTTTTTCTAATTTTTTCTCACTTACAATGCACTGGAAGGGGACTGTTCTGCCACAGTTTGCCTACACAGGCCCACAGGGA